CGTATTCTTCTTATCAATTATATTAAATAAATTATCACTTATTGGGGCATGTCCAACTGGGAGAAAACTCCGGACACATTGGAGAGACTATGTCTCTCGTCTGGCCTGGAATCGCCTTGGAATCCCCCCAGAAGAACTGGAAGAGGTGGCTGTGGAAAAAGATGTGAGTCTCCCTGCTCAAGCTGAGGCACCTGTGACCTGACTGAATAAACAGAAGATGACGGATGGAAGGTTGGATGGATTACRGATGAATAAAATAATTTCAATATGTAACAAAATTGTTTGATGCGGTTACATTTTCATCCAGTCTTTTGCTAACTATTTAGCAAGTTAGAGCTGACAAAACCTTTAGCAACAGCTCTTTAGTCTCCTCATTCTCTCCACCTCACGACCCCAACTGTAACCKTAAAAGACCCCGCGTCCTCTGGTGACTGCATCAGACACAGTGCCGGACTCCCAGCAAAAATATACATTAAGTATTGGACAGAGRTCTGAACTCATGTCCCATTTTAATCTGTCTGTGGATAAAATCAATTCAACACAGGTCCATCCAGCAACCCACTAGATTCAATTAAAAGATGTGAGTGCCAAAGGACACCTGCAGAGGTSCTGTGCCTATGCTTTGATGACCCAGCAGTGAAACTAGGTGGACTTAAACAATATAAGGCAGGTGGTTGTTAGGTGTACGTYTAAGTGTCTCTTTCGCCATGCCATCTGATGATCACGTATAAAGGCAAAAATGTTTATAGCTGTTCCCGACACCACTCTGGTGGTGAAAAGCAGGCTGTCAGTGGGCGGGATGAGATGCGCTAATTGTTTAATTAAGGGGATGAAAGCGTGCATTTTCACAGTCTATCCTGGAAGCAATCATTGTGTTGAACTCATTTGTACACATGAAAAGTGACAGAAATAGTTGTGAGAAGAATGAGCTCGAGAGGAGAGTTCAGTCGTTGCTTTCTTTTTCACTCCCACACTCTTGGACCATCAGTGTTCGAAGTGAATGCGAATGGCAGATTGTCAAATTTGGAAAACTGCAGGAAGCCCCGTTCCCAGTATTGCACAATAGTAAGGTGTCAGGGGGAGGAACGATCAAAAACTGCGATGCGCTGCTGTCGAAAGATCTTTGAGTACTACAGCAGCGGCTGTTTTTATGTATTTGTGTGACGCTCTTCATCRCCAGCTGCCAAACAGGCTGCAGTTCAGCTGAGCAGCTCTGCATGAAACTGTGGAAAACTGTGAGTCTAAGAGCACRGATGCTCACTCAACTTCATCTGACCCCAGACCTAAGGCAACGATCTGAAACAATATGCAGCTGAARGAGTCCGACTCTTTGTTCACTATTTCAAACACCCGTGTAAGACTGCAGCTCTGGAAGTAGCAGCGTACATTCAGTTTTTCCAGAAATGTGTGGATTTAGAAGAGAACATCAAGCTCTGCATTATAACACAGCTTGTTTATTTTATTTTATTTTTTAAATTTGCCTGGTAGACATCGAGGTAGCCTTGCATTCATTTGGTTGTTTTGAAATCCTTTTCTGTTTCATCGTTTTCAATTCACCCTGTCATTTTTTTCTTTTGCATTTGGACATTTCAAAATAGAAACCTCAAAAAGCTGCTCTGCTCCCTCTTTTGTCCGTCAGCATGGCCTGCTTTTTTGCCATGAATATAAAACCCAGCTATCCCATCTTTTTATTCTTGTATTAGGCCATCTTCCATTCTCTCTTCAGTCCCTCCAACTTTCATGAATCAGAATAAAGCAGCTAATGGAGCACAGAAATGGTGGCAGCACAGTCACGTCTGTAGACACTTAATGAATTGCACTATGTAAAAGGAGATGCATGTTGTCTGTTTATTCTCATTTATCTGTTGGGAAGACCTGTAAATGCAACAAAAATGTCACCTATCAGTCTGCAATATATTTTAATAATTTATAAGTTGAAAAAAGATAATTTCCCAGAGTTTTGGTTCTGTCCACTTGTCAAGGCAGGAGTTGGCCTGGATGTCTCCACTCTATTCAGTTTATGAATTTGTAAATTTAACAGGCTTTTTTAAAAATCAGGACACTCTGCTGATGATCATTGAGGTGGTTGTGACCGTCATGTTGATATTGTGTTTCTTTCTACTTAGGTATACATCCGCATCCTGGATAATGAGTGGAACGTGTACAGACGCTACGCCGAGTTCAGGGAGCTTCACAACCACTTGAGAACCAGGTTTCCACAAGTCGACGCCTTTGTCTTTCCACCTAAAAAAGCTATTGGAAACAAGGTGAGCTTATGTTCTTTGTGGGTTGGTCTAGTGCTGTGTTCCTGTTACGACCTGTCTAGGAGGGGCCAGGTCATAGCATGAAAGATCCATCCTCATCAGACCTCAAGCAGGCAACACACAGTTTTAACAAACAAAAATTGTTTTTATTTTTAAAAGTGTACGTTTGTTTTCAAAAAGGTGTTTTCACAGGAGTATTTGGCTTCAGAGTGAGCTATGTGCCAAAAATAACAAACAAAAGGGAACTGTCTCATATATCCAAAACTTACCTAAAGTTAAAATAAAATAAATAAAAGACAAAAACTTACCTCCCTACAATAAGAAAAACAGGAGAAAAATGGTATCAAAAATAAATGGCAGCTCACTCCTACAAACTCCTTAAGTGCTTTCTTAATGTTATTTACAAAGACAAATTGTGAGGCCAGTTGAGATAWGCTGAGGATGAACAGCTGGGAAGTCCACGTCAGTTCCTTTTATCACTGCCACCTGCTGCAGMCCTCCAATCAGTTGTCCTCCAGTCTTCATTGTCCAATCAGCAACCGGCACCTGCACACTCAAATTTACATATTTAACTACCTTTGGTCGTAACAGTTCCATTTACATCATATTCTTGGAACTGGTAAATGGTAGTGACGTCACTTCCGAACAAACCATATGAAACTGCATTCCAGTTAGCCGACAGGCGATTTTATTGTTGCCGCTAACCTAGCTACAACACTGCTACAATATAAACAATGACAAAAAGAGAGCTCTGCTACGTATGTTATGCAAATAAACATTGATTTTAATAAGTACAGTACTGCACAGAAAACACACTACTTGTGCGAGTGATTAAACATGCACAAAAATATTAAGAAAGATTATTAACAGTAAAAGTTACGGAGTTAACTTTCTAAAGCTGCGAGTAGCCGCCATCTTGAAATCAAAACTGGGGGAAGTTTAATTTTTTCCACTATACCAGAGGAATATTACCACTGGAGGCAGCGTTCCAGCTTAAATCTATCAATGGGAACAGGGAAATTACCATTTCCCAGGACTACTGGAACACAGCCTTTTCTTCATGTTTAATACTGTCTTAAGACTGTGTAGAGCTTAAACTAGGTTCATGCTGTGCGATATCTGACTACCTTACTGTAGACAAACTTTTTTTGTCAAAAAATGCAAGATAATCTTTGGAATAGAGCTTGAATCTGCAGCCTGTGGTTCAGTGTGACATTCAAAAAGCATTTATTCATTCAGGATCACTGACGGTCATGAGCCTGTTCATGGCTGTGTCCTCTTTTCTTATTCTTTTCGTCCTTCTCTTTTTAGAGTCAGGTTAGGTTGGAGAGTCCAAKAATAATTGTGTTTTTGCACAGTTTAGCTGCATCAAGAAATTGTCCAGCTCAGCTTGTATAATCCTAGTTCCAAAAAATTTCGGACATAGTTTAAAATGTTAATAAAGACAGCATGCTATAGTTTTAAACTTTTCTAAACCCGTATTTTATTCACAATGATAAATTTGGCAACTAATTAAAGTAGCTGGCAATAGGACAGTAAGAATGGGCATTATAATAAAGCTTTTTATAGAGGCTGATACTCTCAGAAGTAAAGGTGGACAGAGGCTCACCAGACTGCAAACAACTATATTTAAAAAGAAAGAAAAAATTTCAAAGTAATGTTTCTCAACAGAAAATTGGGAAGACTTTGAATATCTCATCATCTGCAGTTCATAATATCATTAAATGGTATCATTAGGACATCATCCACAAAGGCTTGTTAAAACTCTATCATGTAAAGATGAAGCCAGAAGCATCACTGGCTACTCTGAGCCAAAGCTCCCTGAATTTGGGATGAAGTGAAGTTGAAAATTGAACTTTGTTTCCTTTCTAACTGGAGAGCTTGTTTTTGCCCTCTCCTCGCACCACTCTTCCTCCTTTTTATCCTGTTCTCTAACCTTTGGGACATAATTTGTCTTTGACTGCAATTCTGTGGCCGGTTTGACTCAGCCTCATCAAAGCTGTGGTTTGGGTTACCACATTCAAACACACATCACTCTCACAATCAAAAACTGGTCTAAAAGCTACACGTACAGTCTATTACAGCATCCTCTGTTCTAACCTCCAGTGGTATGTTACCTRTGTAAAATGAGATGTTCACTTTTTAAGGCAAGACAGTATCCACAAAACAAAATAAAAGGAATTAGTCTCACTTCAGTAAGATTTATTGGACAAGGGCAGGTACATAAACAAAAAATAATCTTATATACTGTATAGTGTTATTTCAATCTGATTATTTTGTCATGATTTTTTTTGTTCTCATATTTCAAAAGTTTTTGAGTCATTATTTTTTTCTCTACCAAAATCATCATTTTTTGTCGTAGCTTTTTTATTTTGCGGTGTCTTTGTATAGGCCTCTTGAAATATCTTTACTGTGCCCACATCGTATTTTCTTTCTTTCCTCTTTCTACAGTTTATATTATCTTCCAAACACACTGTGCCCACATTGACGTTGTTTGACTTGGAGTTGCACTGTGGATAGCAAATTTCCTGTTTCATCCACATCATCTGTCTCTCAGCTTTAGAGCCTCTCTCTCTCTCTCTTCCTTTATTTCATGCCTGCCAACAAAGACGAGCAAATTCCAAGCAGCTGATATATTATGAGCTCACTGGGAGTCATATAAGATCAAAGATTAGAGTTGAATATGCAAGCTTGACTGAARGAATAACTGCATGTGCTTTGGTTGGGGCTAGCAGTTTTTATACTGTTGCGTACACAGTATTGTATAACTTCCTAAAATGCTGTAAATGTCTTAATTTTTTTGCTGTTTTTGTTTGTTTGATATTTGATTCTATCATTATTCATTCTTTGATTTTTTTTTTATTCTATTTTTATCACCAACTCCCAGAGCTGAAGGAAGGGTGATAACGTTTTTGCTTGCGCCAGTGTGTGTGTCGGTGTTTCCAAGGTTGTGTTACTCTTTTAGGATCTTTTCTGGTATAAACACCTACCTCAGGACTAGTAGTCCATTTTTGCGAACCAAAGCCCGGTCCTAATATGGTGAAACACCATTTTTGGGTTAGAGGTTGGATTTAGGACTAAGGTGTGAACTGAGTTTAGGCTAGAGTCAGGTATGTCGTGGGGGTGGTTAGGTTTAGGGTAAGGCTACAGAAATAACTGGAGAAAACACAGATCACAATAGTTTATACTGAAAAATAAAAATCTGTATCAAGCAAAATGTGTAGTAATGAGTGAATGTTCTGGCTGGATTTATTTATATGTTGTATTAAACATATATAAAGATTTTAATACTAAACTACACAAAACYTAAGACTTTCCAGCTGAACATGTACATCAGAATTAAACTTAACCTTATAAAACCCTTATGATGCAAGAGCTTCTTCTGCTTCCTTTCATTTTATTTCGATTTGTATATTTTTTTGGTTTTGGTTTATTTTATCATTGTATATAGTATTTTTAATGAAATGAATAAATTTTTGAATTGAATTGAATATGTAATTTTTTCATATTATACCAACTGCATTGATCAAAATAATGTCTCAGTCTGGTTTTAAATACAAACAAGTTTATTTCACCAGAACCTTGTTTAAAAGCTTGTAATTCTGTAATAAATTAGTTTTTTCCGATATTTATGATCAGCTTTAAACCTGACACTTTGACAGAAAGAACAGCAGGTTGTGGTGCAAAAAATTAAAAATTAAAAAGCCACACCTTTACTTGAATCCTGATCATAACAAACAAATATATGTTTTGCTGTTAATATTGTTTAATTCTCAAAAGTAAAGCAACATCTGTGAATGACAGCGAGATGCGCAGCTGAGCGGAGCCGCACACTGAGGCGCAATGATCTGGGTGGGCTTCTCCAAAGACTGTGCGTGCTGTGCACCATTCAAACAGTTTCTCGTCACGCGTTTGCTCTCCTATTTACAACATTTCACAAAATATGAAGTATACTTCCACGTGTCCTTTTGGAGAAAACTACAAAACAGTAAGCACAGATTATAGATGTCTCCATAGCTGGCGAGGGTGTGCGCGAGTAGGCCACTACCAAGGAGTTTATATAGAACAGCTGGAGTGCGCAGAAACCACCTGACCATGTGATCGGCTGGTGAAGCTAACGGCTAACGCAAAACGGTCAAGAGTCTGGATTTCTTATTGCTGTACATGTTGACAACTGAGCAGAAAAAAAGGACTGATGATGTAGAAATCATTAAAACTTTTAATAATAATATTAACCCAATTATTGTTAATATTTTACAGTTTATATAATTTATCTAATGTTTTAAAATAATGTCAGAAAAGCTGTTTGTTATGGATTTATTAACAGAAGATAAACAGGAAAACGTCTCATTTCACAACACAAGTCAGCAGATTTGATCTTATTTAGCTCAATGAGATCTGAGCAGAACATAATGTAACAGTTTAAAATTAAAATAATCTTACAATTTAACACAAACTAAATATTACAGCTGATTTGTCCTCTGATTAATATTTAGACCTACAGAGTGTAAAATAATATTATAAATGTGAGTATTTTTAGGTTTCTGTTAGAGGAACCTGACCTGTTAAGAAGATGTTAGCTAATAGAGACAAGTTTCATCCTATAACCAGAGAACATTTTCTAACTGTTGACTGTTAAATATAAATATTCTTATTTTTTATGACAGTAAGAAGAAATAATAAATATACTTTATTACTAACTGAAGTCATCATTTTTAAACTATCTAAAGTCTAAGTTACAGGCTGACTTCAGGTCTGGTTTAGATCATTGTTATTTATAAATTATATATTTTTCTGGTTTAAATCTGCTGTTTTACATGATTGTTGAATGAAATTAACATAGTTATTAATTTATTATAAAACATCACCGATAATCTGTGAAACAGATCCAGTTGAGCTGCTGTTTATCTATTAGTTTCTATGTTTGCTGTGAGCTGTTGTCCTGTTTGGTCTGTTTCTGCTCCTCCATGCTGTCACAGACACTACCAGTGGACGGTATGGGC